GGTCTTGTGGGAACAGAATCCAGTGGTGGCAGAGGTGGTGGTGCAGCCTGCTGGCCAGCTGCTAGAGCAGTGGAGTTCCACCACAGTTGTGGGCAGGGCCCAGCTGCCTTGCTGGAGCTGATTTAACACCTAGAGATTGAAGCAGCTTAGCTGGGAAACCAGTCACTCACCTGTTCGTCCAACTGATGTACGTGACCCCAGTCTGACAGCTGGGGAACCAACATAGGACCAAACCAGGCCCCCTGAACATGGGTGTCAGCTAGGAGCACTTGGCAGTCTATGGAACCTCTGGCAGTAGAACCTAGTGCATGAATGGACTTTGGAAGCCCATTTCCTACAGAAGTATATTCTCTTAGCCTAGATACACAGGGGAGGGCCTAGGCCCTGGCCCAAATGACTTGACAGATTTTTGATGATCCCTAATAGAAGGCCTCACCCTCCCTGGGGAGTAGATGGGGGGATGGGATGGGGAGGTCCGGGGAGGGAATGGGACGACGGTAGGGAGATGGAACCATTGATATGTAAAATTAAGATCGTTTGTAATTTAAATAAAATTTATTTGAAAATCCAAATACCACCACCTGGGAAAAAACTATTGTTAGGGTTTCTAAATTTAGTTAATTATACATGAATAAATTTTAGGGTGCTTAATATCATTCAAAAAAAGATATGGGTTAGGATATAAGAGCTAGTTAGAAACAAGCCTAAGATATCAACTGAGCTTTCATAATTAATGTCTCCATGTCATCATTGGGGAGCTGACGATCCTGACCAAAAGTCCAACTATAATAAGTAGGCCAGTGAGCACCATGGGAATTAGGTCTACTGTGTGGGTGCTCATGCACTTTTCTCCTGAAGAATCCAGAGAACAGGGCTGCCTGTGCACCTGCTCTGTTCTGCTGGGGGGGCGGATTATGTTCCAAAGCACAGCCCTAAAACCTGAGGTGAACAAATGGGGCTGTTGTGATCAAGAGAGGACTTCACCAAATCTGATGTATTCCTGAGATACTTTTCTTTGCCTATGTAGCCAGGTGTGACTCTCTTTACAGTTTAATGAGTGGCTTCCTCCTGCTGACAGCAACTTTCTGAAAGAGGTATCTTCTTAGGCCCAAGAAAGCCTCACTAGACACTAGGTTTAGACTTAGAAGAGGCCCAGACAGAAAACAATTCCTCAAAGGCAACAAATCTAACCACAGTTCAGTGATCAAGAGAATAGTAACCTAGGTACAATGCCATGAACAAAATGGCAGCCTAGGTACTGCAGAGATAACTCATATGTCAAGAGCTCTTGCTGAGCAGTCATGAGGGCCAGAGTAAAGACCAGTGTCCTGCATTAGCCTGCAACTCCAGGAAGGGTGTAGGTGGCATAGGAGAGTCTCTAGGGATGGCTGGATTCCAGTCTCATGAGGAAAAGGAAGACCCAGGTTCAGGAAGAAAGACTGCTTCCAAAAGGATAGCTAGAGAGTAGTAGAGAGTGACTACCCAGTGTTCTTTGCATTAATCTTTTGGTGACCCCACATGTAGCTCCATGCACAAATAAACCTTTTAAATAAACAAGCAGTGGCCCTTTTAGCCAACTCACCAGTTCACACTCATATACAGGACCCACCTGGCTCAAGTCATCTCCTGCCTTATCCCCAGCCTTTACTACGTATGCCACCATTGCCTGAATACTTGGCAATCGCCCTCCTTTTCTCTAAGAATTTAAAGAACCTGGTTTGGCTTTTAAAGAGCTTCTTCGGTCCCAAACGCAGCTTTAAATTTCTTTAAGCCCTGGTTGGTGAATTCCAGGATCTTGGGTGCATGCTTTAGTGTCACTATCAGGCTTGAGACAGCCACGTACTGCCCAGAATAGCAGCTTACTTTATGCTGGTTGTTCCCAACTGATGTACATGTATCCATTGTATCCTATTATATCGCTCTTCCATCTTTGAAGCTCACCTCAAAACAATAAATCTCTAGTTTTCTCTAAGGTATGTAACAATGTCAATTTTGCTGAGTCCAATCACCACTTTTCAAGTCTCATTATGTAATCTGTTACCATTGATTATCTATTCACCTAAATCTAGCTTCTGGAATTCTAGTCTTTGCTTTCCTCTTATCTCTTTGATCCCCCATTTTATTTTAGCTCCTTTGCTGTCCTTTTCTTGATCCCAATGTTGGGTTCTACACAGTTCAGTCCTTATTTACATCAAGTGCCTACTGATGCAATTCTACTTCAGGGCTCTCAATATGTACAACTAATAACTATTAATACTCAGTCTGGGGTAATACAAGCTGCTATATGTCCAACTGTATCGTCAGTATTTTCATTTGAAGATTAACAGCCCCTTGCAACTGGAGAGACTGCTTAGTGGTTAAGAGTGTTTAGTATTCTTGAGTGCCCAAGTTTAGTTCCCAGAACACACATCAGATGGCTCATAGAAGAGTCTCTAGGGATGACCTCTTCAGGCACACTTCCATACATGGAAGATACAAAGACACACATATATGAATAATAATTTATAAAAAGCTCAAACATGTCCAAAATTGACCTCTGTTTTCTTGTGTTGAAACTGCAGCTTCTTCCATCTTTTTCAACATGGTTTCTCTGTATAACAGCTCTTGCTGTCCTGGAACTTGCTTTGTAAACAAAGTGGCCACAAACTCATAGAGATCTACTTGCCTCTGTCCCCCAAATGCTGGCATTAAACATGTGTGCCACCACCCACCAGATAGCTTCCTCCATCTTATTTGATGGAATATACCACCTTTCTAATTGCCAAAAATAAAACCTGAGTTCAATTCACCTAGGTCTTTTCTTTCTTACACATAACCCCTGACCATAAAACAAAACTTGCTTTGTATTTACTTAACATAGAAGAAAACAACTTCTCACTATACCAATAGTAACAATCACAGACTAGGCCAGTGGTTCTCAGCTTGTGAGTTGTGATCCCCACAGGGATTACATATTCAGATATCCTGAATATCAAATATTTGATTCATAACACTAACAAAATTATAGCTATGAAATAGCAAAGAAACTATTTTATGGCTGGGGTTACCACAACATGAGGAACTGTATTAAAGGATTGCAGGTTGAGAACTACTGCTCTAGGCCATAAGCAGATTTTATCTTTAAAGGCTACACATCATTATCATGCTTTTTGCTCAAAACCCTACAGTGGCCACCCATTTCATTCAGAATAAAGAAAAATGCATACAAGGTTTTTTAAGACACAGCCCTTAGTTACCTCCCTAGCCTTCTGTCCTATCATTCCCTTGCCTAGAACTCTAAGACCCTCTAGTTCCTCAAATACACTGATTCACATATTATGTGAATATGAGACATATTTTTGATGAAGTTCAGCATTTAAGAATTTAGATGGCAAAATAGAAATGTTAACAGAATCTACATAGGAAAACCTTCCTGGAATGTTCTTTCCATAAACTTTAGACTTTCTAATCTGGGCCCAGATTCTTTTTTGTTTGTTTGTTTGTGTTTTATTTTTTTCGAGACAGGGCTTTTCTGTAGCTTCCGAGGCTGTCCTGGAACTCACTCTGTAGACCAGACTAGCCTCGAATCCTGAGTGCTGGGATTAAGGGCATGCACCACCACCACCAGATTCTTCTTAAAAGACTTCATCTCTTTTTAAATGATCTATTGACTCTATTACCACCTTTTGGAGACTGGATTTCCTTACATAGTCTAGAATTGTCCACAATTTACTATTTAGTCCTACATGACCCAGAACTTTAAATTCTCCTGCCTCAGGTCCCTTTACCAGCTAGGGCTGGAATTATAGGTATGCCACCATACCTGATACAATTATATTTAACATATTCTATATTTATTTTGCCAGCTCATGCTAAGATTGTTTATAGATATACCCCAAATAACAATAATGGTTGGATTCTAACAAACACTCAAATGAATAAAACTACTTTTAGAATAAACCTGTATGGGGAAAGTTTACAAAAATTCAAGTTTTTTGCATACCTACTTACCTTTGCAAGCATGGGCTGCTGTCTCAGATTTTATCCAAGTTCCTCCTTTAAGTCAGTTCATAAGTTTCAATTAACTAGATCAAACACTTGTAGTCAGAAATAGCATCTCAGTCTCTGCCTGAGATAGGATCTCATTATGTAGCTCTGGCTGTACTGGAATCCACTATGTAGACCAGGCTGGCCTCAAACTCACAGAGATCCACCTGTCTCTGCCTCCTGAGTACTAGGATTAAAGGGCATGGGCCATCATGTCTGGCTGTACCTCCTAATAAAGCAATATAATATTACTACGGGCCTGGCTACATCTATTCTGAATTAATGTCTCTTACAAGACATCTTTCAAAGCAGCAAGAAACACTGAGCATGCATGTTCTGCATCATTCTTGTCATTTCCTCTAACATTTCAGTCTAGTTTGGTATCAAGTGTGCCTTACAAGACAGTAGGCTGCAGGCTATTCAAATGTCCTACCTGAAAAAATAAGAATATTCACTTTGTAGCTCATTCTCAATATACTGTCACTCTCCATGGCCTTATATTGAGATTTCTTTCTTTTTCTTTTTTGGTTTTTCGAGACAGGGTTTCTCTGTGTAGCTTTGGAGCCTGTCCTGGTACTAGATCTTGTAGACCAGTCTGGTCTCAAACTCAGAGATCCACCTGCCTCTGCCTCCCGAGTGCTGGGATTAAAGGTGTGCAACACCACTGCCCGGTTTAATATTGAGATTTCATTTATTCGCAACAGCCTTTTTTCAGGAAAAACATTATTTTATGCCCTTAAGAAAAACGTTATCACCAGTCATTGTGGCGCATGCCTTTAATCCCAGTACTCAGGAGGCAGAGGCAGGTGGATCTCTGTAAGTTTGAGGTCAGCCTTGTTTACAGAGCGAGTAACAGGGTATTCAGGGGTATACAGAGAAACTGTCTCAAAAAGGCAGACAGACAGACACAGAGAGAGAGGGGGAGAGAGAGAAAGAAAGAGAGAGAGTTTATTGTTCAGAGAACTAGGAAAGCATAAGTAAAAGGGTTACTTTAATTTAAAATAAAGAAATATATAGACAGAGAAGAGTTGGAATTCTTGGAATTCCAACAGTCAGACTTCTGACTGTTCACAAAATCAGCAGGGTTGCAGACTCCACCATCCATAACACCCAGATACCATTTCCAAAATCCTCATGAGGCTATCTGGGCTCCACCTCAGATGCCTAGAGTGTTAAGACGGGAAAAGAAACAGAGGGGAAGGATTTCTTAAATATTCTACTCATACAAATACATCTTGTTGACCTGCCATGGAGACTGAGATAGGTGTTTTTTTTTTTTTTTGTCTAGGGTTTTGTGACTGAAAGGGAAATGAAAATTAAGTAGAACACCAGTCTCTGATACAAACACATCTGTTTTTTCATTGTAAATGAAATGTAATCTATAGGTGTAGCTTTTAACTTTCAGTTAACAAACTACATATTCAAGTTTTTTTTTATTTCCTAGATTTGTCCTGAGTATTTAGCTCATCATTTATAAATAATATTCTTGAGTTGATGTCAAAGAGTTGAAACATAAGTGTGGGGGCTTTGTGACAAACCAATCACATCTCTCCTAAATTCTGTAACAGTGGTTGGTGCTCAATAAGACACCAATACAAAAGGGTTTCTTCATACTATAAATTTCCTTTTATAATAAATATGTGAGATTTGAGTTAATGCCTTCTCATGTTGATGACAGTGTATAATGCCATCCACCCACGTAATTTGTCTAGGACAAATATTAATGAAAGATTTCTTAATTTAGCTACACTGATAAGCTCCTTCCTTTCATGTAAATTCTCTAAAATCACAATAATGAAAACAGCACCTAACATTTATGATATGCTCTGTTCAAGGCACTGTTCTAAGTGCTTTTACATAATTAAACATGAGATGAAAAAAATAGTCTTAGATATACCTTACAAATGATTAAATCAAAGCAAGGTTACTTATAAAAAAAAGTCACAAAGGAAATGAACTCATAGGACCACAATAATGATGACACAGACTTTTTCTATGCTAAAGACCTTTCTATAACACAGTAACAGAATCACTATTATAATTTGATAAAATGCAGTACAGTTATAAACAAAAGACTTTGCTATGTGAATTATATCAGCATTTCTAGTCTCCCATATAAATTTTCAAATGCTGAACTTTGTGAGTCCTATATTTACATTCGTAAGAGTTCTTCACTGATGACCAGGAAAAGCTATGCTAATGGAAAAGAATAAGTTAACTCAAATAAAAAATTGTGAATGATGACTAAAGTCTATTCCACATTCTTTACAGTCAACAGATTTGTCACTGCTATGAATTCTCTGATGTTGCATTAATTGTGACCCACGAGTAAAGGCCTTCTCACATTCTTTACATTGATATGGTTTCTCACCGGTATGAATCCGTTGGTGCCGAGAAAGATGTGAGCTCTGAGTGAAGGCCTTTCTACATTCTTTACATTCATAGGGCTTCTCACCTGTATGGATTCTCTGATGTAGAGTAAGTTGAGAGCCATGACCAAAGGCCTTCCCACATTCCTTACATTCATAAGGTTTTTCTCCAGTGTGAGTTCGCTGATGTTGAGTGAGCTGTGAACCACGAATGAAGGCCTTCCCACACTCCCTACACCGATATGGTTTTTCACCAGTATGAATTCTCTGATGTTGTATAAGTAGTAATCCACGAGCGAAGGCTTTGCCACATTCACTACATACATAGGGTTTCTCACCAGTATGAAGTCTCTGATGTTGAGAAAGATGTGAGCTCTGAGTGAAGGCCATTCTGCATTCTTTACATTCATACGGTTTTTCACCAGTATGGATTCTTTGATGTTGAGTAAGCTGTGAGCTGCGAATAAAAGACTTGCCGCACTCCTTACACTCATAGGGTTTCTCACCAGTGTGGATTCTCTCATGCTGAGTAAGTTCTGAGCCCCGACTAAAATTTTTTCCACACTCTTTACAGTCATAGGGTTTTTCACCAGTGTGAATCCTCTGATGTCGAGTAAGGAGTGATCCACGATTAAAGGCCTTCCCACACTCCTTACACTGATAGGGTTTCTCACCAGTATGAATTCTCTGATGTTGAGTAAGTTGTGAGCCATGACTAAAGGTCTTTCCACATTCTTTACATTCATAAGGCTTTTCATTAGTATGGATCCTCTGATGTTGAGTAAGTTGGGAACCACGGATGAAAGCCTTTCCACAGTCATCACATTTGTAGGGTTTTTCACCAGTATGAATTCTTTGATGCTGCATAAGTAGTGAGCCTCGAATAAAAGCCTTTCCACATTCCTTGCATTCATAGGGCTTTTCTCCATTATGGATTTTCTGATGCTGCGAAAGCTGTGAAGCACAAATGAAAGCCTTCCCACACTCTTTACATTCGTAGGGCTTCTCACCGGTGTGACTTCTTCTATGGAGAAGAAGCTGTGAGAGCTGAGTAAAGACCTTCCTACATTCTTTGCAGTCATACAGCTTCTCTCCAGTGTGCAGTCTCTGGTGCAGAGTAAGCTGCGAATTCTGGGGGAAGGCCTTTCCACACGCTTTACATTCAAACGGTTTCTCACCAGTGTGGACTTTCTGATGTCGGCTGAGTTGCGAGCTTCGAATGAACGTTTTCCCACATTCGTCACACTTATAGGGCTTTTCACCAGTATGAATCCTATGGTGTAAAATAAGCTGGGAGCTTTGAGTAAAAGCCTTTCCACATTCCTTGCATGCATAGGGTTTCTCACCGGTATGAAGTCTTTGATGAAGACTTAGCTGAGAATCACGACTAAAGGCTTTCCCACACTGCTCACACTCATAGGGTTTCTCACCAGTATGGACACTCTGATGCTGAGTCAGGTGTGAGGCTCGTCTGAAGGCTTTGCCACATTCCTCACATTTATATGGTTTCTCTGTAGAATAACCCGGTGGATGCTGAGATAAATAAGTGTGTGGGCCAAAAATGGACATTTTGTCATATGTTATCATTTCTTGCCTATAATATTACTTCCAATTTTCTTCCTTTGCTAATCTGTCTTTGATTCCCAAATATCTTCTAGAATTAGTTTTAGGTGCACAGTTTTTGAGCCTGACACTCATTTCCCATTGAAGTCATTCTGATTCCTTAATGTGCTATTTGAAGGCAAATCCTTATTCAAACACCTAGAAGGCAAGTCTGAAAGATAAGACAACATCAAATAATTTTAGAGAAATATAACTGATTTAGCAGAAATGACAACAGAAAAGTCATATCTGTAACAAGTAACAAGCATATATTAGTATTCTCCCAATATTTCTTACTACATCCCACCCACGTCAACATCTACCTGTCACAGCAAAATTGACTATGTACATCATTTCATTAACAGAATACTGTTTTCAATTCTATGCTATTCTATACATGCCCCCAAAGTCAGAAAAAAACAAAAACAAAAACAAAAAACAAAACAACTAAAGTGATTTTGATGCTGCTATCCAGAATTTTTTTAAGAAAGCTTTGCTGGACAGTGGTGGTACTCACCTTTAATCCCAACACTCAGGAGGCAGAGGCAGGCAAATCTATGCGAGTTAGAGGTCAGCCTGGTCTACGGAGTGAGTTACAGAACAGCCAATACTACACAGAGAACCATACTACCCAGAGAAACCCTGTCTTGAGAGACCAAAAAAAAAAAAAAAAGTTTAGGCGACACTTGTTGTAATAATAATGATAATGGTATGTATAAATGTATACACACACATTAGCTTAGAATGACTTCTTACATTAAAATATATAATGGGTACCTGAGACCAGAGAATAATGAAAACTCACCTGAGAGTGAAAAGAATGAGATTAAGAAAGTTTTCAAGACAGGAGGTGTTGGTGCACGCCTCCAATGCCAGCACTCAGGAGGCAGAGGCAAGTGGAGCTCTATGAGTTTGAGGCCAGCCTGGTCAACTTTGCAAGCTCCGGCCACTCAGAGCTATATAGCACGACCCTAATCTTATTTCTGTTAATTTACCATAAATTGTAAAATATATATATATATATATATAAATAAATGAAGGTGAAAATGATGAAAGAATTGGTCTAGTAAAAGCTCAAAACAAAA